TGATCACCATATACTTCTGTCAACAAATTGTAAGTTTCAGTGGCAGATTTTCCAAGTTTTGTGAGGAATTTGATGTTAGCACGTTGTTCTGCATTAGCACTCAGCATTATTCCGACGGAGCTCAGAAACACGATCCGCTTCTAACAATGGTCGCGGCCAGACTAACCGATGCACCTGAATGAAACTTTGTGTGACGGTAGAGGGAAGTCCAAGGGTCAATGCCCTACCCTCCTCTTCGTCAATGACGTGGCCGGAAATGAGTCATAAAAGTAATCCGGGTTCTTTATTGCCAGACCTTGTACATTACATTAGTGACCAAACTATCTCAGGATTATGGCACAGTCTAGCAAATACTGACCAGTTTTTCATGTATGATGGAGTCTTTATACACTGAATAAAATATTGTGACATGCGGCCAGGAAGGCCAGACTGTAAGGCGTCCATCACTGATCTATGGCTAGCAATTCCTAGGCAACAATATACTACTTGTATAAGCAGCCCATTGCATAGGAAATCACTTAAGCAACACACACGTTGCCACAGGGACGAAAGCCTAACAGTAGGGCTTCCCCTGTTACAAACAGGCTAGCAATGCCTAGGTAACAAATTGTTTGAGGCAGCTGCATCACAACAGCACCGGTTAGGTAAACAGGTATTCTCGTAGCAACAAGAGTCCTTTGTATGGCAGCAGGGAAACTGAACCTTTCAGCAAGGTGGTCTCTATCCCGCCCGAGCGTAGGATATAAGCGAAGAACAGTTCAGAGGACCAAGTCAGTCCAGCTTTGATGAGAGCAGAAGACAGTCCAACTTCAACAAGGGATAAAAGAAGAGCCACGACACTTCACCGAGATTAGCGGTGCAAGAGCAGAACAATTGGAGAGGAAATGTCTCAAGGCATTATAAGTGCGAGCGTAACCAAATAATAATCCAATAAACATATCCGTCTAACCTGAGACCCGTCATTTCTTGTTGTGTTACCTAGGAAACTCTCGACAATATAGCACTTTTTTAATCACTATCATTATGTCCCTATTATAAATAAAATTTTATATCATTTGTCTAAACATATTAGGTGTTCAAAACATGGACAGTGTTTCTCCTGGTGAATGCTGTAAATTATTAAATCATAAGTAATAATCATGACATCCAGAATTCAGAAATGTTTATAATAAGTCATATATTCCATCTATAGTTGTCCATCTCTATCGACGTAAAATATGTGGATCCCTTCATCTAGTACTATATAAGGATGTAACAGTGAGCCATCCAATCCATGTCTATATATTTCCATTGAATCAGTAACCATCTTCATCATTCCAACTTTGTATATGGAAGAAAGCCAGCTGTCTTGTTTAAAGCTTTCAACATTCTCGCCAGACAAATGGTAGGACCTTACAGTTGGTGTCACATCAGTTGCTAACTTTTACTGGCTACTAAGTAGGGATAATGGAAATTTCATAAACTTTTACTTATGCCAAAAGTACAAACACTTTTTTCTCTCTCTTTCAAACAATATTAAAGATTAAGACTAGTCCTTATAGAGTGGAAGTGACAAACAAGTCAAAAATTATATTTCATGGTCTTTTAGAAAACTCAAGACCTTCATAACGAGTTTTGATCATCTTACAATACAAATAATCTCTGCACTTAATATAACTTGTTAATGATATACAAATCCTTCTCCCCATGGTTAAAAGATGTATATATGTTTATAGGAAATACTTTTACTTAGTTAGAACAGGCCCATGCAGGTGTTTGATCTGGGAGCAGTACAGTCAGTATACAACCATGGATCCTGAAATGTGATATGGTGAAAAATATTTCAGGTTCTCTTTAGCAGACAGAAAAAAAAACAGTTTTTGGGTGAAAGGGGAAAGTAAGCATGCAAAAAGCGGCCTCCGTAGTCTAGGGGTAACGTTCCCACCTCATGACTCGTAGTATGCGGGTTCAAACCCGGTGGAGGTCGTCGAATTTTAAGGGCAGAAAAATTCAGGGAAAAAGTCCTCCGGGAGGGACTTTAAGCCGTGGGTCCCGTGTCGTAGATTTACGGCACGTAAAAGATCCTCATGTCTCTAGGAGACCTCTGAGCAAAATTAGGCAAAG